TTCCAATTTTTCGTCCAGCTAACTTGTCTGGACTTCTTCAAGGTAACAATCAAAATTAAAATCATCAAAGAAATATATGGCGTTTTAACAATCCAGTCAGATCAAGTCTATACTGTGTTAATCATTCTTATTCGGATGTTGATTTTTAGTAAATAGGATAACATGAGTCAGTTAAATGTGAAAATATAGTGTTCTAATTGTCGTATGAATTAGGAATTCCAGGATTAACGCAATTGAATTAAGAAGACACAGGCACAACGAATGTACTGTATTTAGAATTCGAAATCAAACATTCAACCAGTACAAAGGTATCATTGGTTCATTCAAACACCACAGAAACATGTGATGGTAAACGACTGAACGAATTGTGTGTGTATGTATGTGTAAGATTAAGTTATTAATAGTTGATATCTGTAGAATTATGGTCTACTATGATATTAGTACTGCTCTTATAATAGACCTAATCCTAAATTTGTAGATTTGTCATGATATAACTGCCTAATCTATAAGATCTTACGTGGAAGTCACACCATCGACTACACCAACTCACTGTATCGCATCAATTACCACTACATGATGTAGAACAAGGTTAGGCTAGAGAAAGAACAATATATTTAATATGAATAGAAGATATAAGGTAACATTCAGCAGAGACCACGCCTGCATGGCCGAGCCATGCCACTCGATCAACTCCAGCCCATTCAATTCATTGTTCGCGCCTTCTCCATTGTTAGGTATTTCTCCGCGTTAAATATTGAATATCTATTTTCTGAGTAGTCTCGTGTTCACAGCTTTGTGGATTGTGTGGCTATTGTCCAATGCCACTACAAACTTCCATTGTCTAATATCAGAGTTTGTTTGACCGGGGTCGGCGTTTTCGGTACGCCTTGCACAATGATATTTCTTCCGCCGAAAAACTTGCAAGATTCCTTAGGGATGTTCCGGATGAGATTGCGCTCAGAATATGGCATGTCAGGCAGTATTCTTAAGTTCATATTTCATTCCAGTAAGTGACTAACTAGTAGGATATGAGTACTACACCAGGTAGCGTCGGTGGGTTTTGATGCTTAGACTCCTTTCCACGAATGAGCCGCGTGGCCGTCAAAGGCTGTAGTCTGGGAAGTTGTAGGTTCTTGTTTAACTCTCCCCAGAGCATCCTGTCATTTTGTCCTGCTAACTGAGGGGGAGGTCAGGGTCGTCTTTAAGGTTCATGATTATGAGAGAGTCGTCACGAACCGTTATTGTTTTCCCAGGTTTTCCGGCGCGTTCAGCTTGAGCAACTTGTTGTTTGGAGGTCGAAGCGTGTTTCCGACTCCTAGGCTCTTGGATGACCGGATGGACATTCCTGGGTTTAAATTGTGCGGTTAAGTCACCAGTTGGTCTCCGTACAATACTTGGGATGTTTAACTTAAACGGTGATGCCTGGTCTTTTTAACTCCGTTGACGTGAGTCTAATGACCTACAGAGTTTTGGGGAACAACCGTTGCATGCAGGGACCCTGTGCTGGGAGACCCGAGTCTCTCCAGGGAGTCCATAACCATCGACATTATGACGGTGCTGAGTTTCAGCGTGTCATCACTAGTGCTACAGCATGCTTCATCGATAGTAGAGCTGTCAACACCCCTCTTCTTGTTTTCATTGCGCGTCCTTGTTTGTCTACTCGTTTTATGACTTTCTTTTTCCAATTTTGCCGACAACTTATTCCGCAGACCTGTCAATAGGACATGACGTTACTCGGCAAAATTTCAGCATCCGTGTTGCACATGGCACATACCCAAATATGATCACACTTGCTGTGAGATCTGTTAATGGTTCATGGAACTAATCTTTTCAGTTGTCACACTGCATGCCAGACGTAACAGCAAGACGGCATCCAGGTCGTTTGTATGAATTTTTCATGACTATATTGACGTACACTGTTTTATAGATGCTAGCAAAAGCTTGAGATCGTTGAAAAACAGTACAATAAAAACGGGCAAAAGTGGATAAAAACGAGTTCGGATAAACTGAGACTAGCCTTTACATGAAAAACTGAAAAAAACGAATGAAATGTCAGTTTCGTACGTTGAAGTTTAGAAAAAGTAGAGATAAGCTTCTATATGGCCTTAGGAATAAAACGTTACAAACCAAATCAGCTAAATTATACTGAGATTATTTATTCGCATCCAGCTCCAAATATTTGATTATTTATTTTTAGCAAAAAATCCCAATCCATTTTCACCTAAGATGTCTTACTTCTGACTTAAGACTGGTAAGCCTTCTATTTCATTGTGCCTAAGATGTTGTGGAGTACAAGATTCTTAGAAATAGCAAGGTCCTTGGGTGCTTGAACTCAAATACACTTGTTAGGATGTATGGAACCCAAACCAGGAATGCGCTTAACTCGTGTTGCATTTTTTAACTTTTCGTTAGCTACGTTTTCACGAAATTCAGAATGGAAAGGCAATTAAGCCATACTCCTCAACAAAACCTTTCTATTATAAGTCAGCTTCCTTACTTGTTTCATTAACTAAGATCATGGAGAGATTTTTATTCAGATAAACTCAGAATCATAGATTTTCTGTAATATTCACAGGGTAAACGAATAGATCCTCTCTTTTTTTAATGGCACACTCTAGGTATCTATTTCACTTGTCATTCCATGGAAGACACAGCTTAATACAACATGAGCACCGTGCATTCTAACTCTACGGTTATATATATATATATATATATATATGTCTTCAGTGTTCACTCGAGATCCTATTGTAATAATGTTATATCTAAACTAAGGTTTGGACTGAAGAATAGCTGTATCGGTGGATTAGATACGCGCCCTTATACGGATGAAACCAAAACAAAGTGATTGGATAAAATGATAGTTCTGAAATTCACTATAAATTTAAGTGTACATTGTTACCTAAACAAATCTGACCGCCCAGCTACTCAACCAATAATTGTTCAATCGATCAAATCGAAAATACAATAAATTAGGAATTTGATAAAAGGATGAGAGAAAATTACCAATCGCAACAAATAAATGCTATTCTATCCTGTCTGGATAGATCACGCACCGATCCGTTCAAAAGATAATATTTGGTTGCTTTATAACAGTGTTTCCAATTCTGGAACAGTGCTTCAATTCACATTCCCAGTCAATACAAGCAACACAATCAAAAGGAAGAGCAACCCAATATGGCTGCCGCCAAGACTAAGTACCAGGTAAAGTAATATAAATGCAGTGCAGGAAGGAACATGTAAACTTAGTAAAGGCGTAAGAAAAATAAAAACTATAATAAAACAAAACTACTACCAAACCAAGTGGAGTCAAAAACACCACCAAAATGTACAACTAAAGGAAACAGTAGGAACAAACTTCAAGTGTATACATGGAGGGATTTTCATACACAAAACATTCGAAATGGATCTTACAATAACTTTTAGTATTTCGTGTGAATGAGGAAAAATTTTCACCAAGTCAACATTTAATAAACTATGACAAACTACGTTCTTTTGTATATCTCACGTAATAAATTTTTGGTTGCCTACGTATAACAATATCAAAACACAAGTTCTATGTTGTAATAAAAAAACTAATAATATCTGAAAGTACAAAAGTAACTGTACTATTTATCAAACGGTTCCTCTAGCACAAAACTGCGCACTTCATGATGAAGAGATTTTTAAGGGTTATGATTGATAAGAACATGGAAATCATCAAGAATATTTGTAGCAGAATAATGTCAAACAAATATCCGTAAGAGACTCAATAACAGTTTGTACCAAACTGCCAAGCAGTAGATGTGATCGACGGTTGTGTGTCATACCTTAATGTTCCGTTGGAGAAGAACTTAATATAATTACACGGTATCCAGTTCCGACAAAATTAAATAATAATAGCGAGTCATGAAGGAAGTTGAAAAATTACTGTCTTGTTAGTGAGGGCGGAGAGATATGAATGCATTTTGAATCACGTCCCGGATCGAAAAATTATATCACTCAAGGAGAAAATCTAAAGGCATATTTATGACGTCAAATAAAACAGTTTGAAAGAAATTTTATTGTATTTCGTTTGTTATACTCAACGGGAAAACCTTTGTACAATGTTCCACAACCTAAGGAGGTCAGTGTATCGAAAAGTTTCTTTAGAAATGCAAGCGAGATTTTTATACTAAATAATGGGCCTTACTCAGTTTTTTTGAAAGCTTTTAGCTTACCTAATCTGAGGCTGAGAGGTTGTTAGCAGGCAGATAAAATTTATTTACGGTTCTCATAATTTCATCATTCCAACTGAACGCGATGATATGATATCAAAGTGAGCTACAGAGAAGATCCGTCCGGTAATAAACACGAATGAGCTTGAAGATGCTACTGATATTCGTAGTTTGACAACGGTTTTACCAGTAACATCTTTATAGCCGAAGAATACCAACGCAGTCAAATCAGAAGTCAGATGTGAAGAGGATCGAAAACACATTAGAAAGGCCGTCGATATATCGGAAATCGTTTAATCTAAACTGGTTAGCGGTCGAATAAGATGTAAAGCACGTCGTAGTTACTCGTTATCTGGTACGGATGCGTAGCCAAGCACCTTCAGATAGATGCGTCGAGTAAAACCAATGAGGTCAGCATCAATTTCGAAGACCTACAGAAATATATTTTTACGTGAATTCATTGCCCGTTATATCTTTCTATAAAATTACCTTCGCTTTCTTCCTAACTGGGATCCTTCAATTGTGGAAAAAATTGACAAGCACGACACTACTTCGCATTCACCAGGAGAACTGTCATAACACTTAGACAGTGCCTCGACATAATGTTTTATCATTACGCCCTAGACAAATTTAAAACGTAAAATTGAGCAACAAATGAGTTAAAAAGGAACTACAACGTAGTAAATAAGAGCGGGGTAATTATAGCTGGAAACATGTTATTCCTAATACCTTGGTGTGATAAACAAATTTAAATCGACAGGATTTAAAGGCGCTAATTTCGTTACTTGTGCCTCAAATGACCTTTAGATGGGTGAGTTACTACGTCCGCTTCATGAAGTGTGCGATTATATTCTGAGAGATATTTTTGTCTTAGATGGTTCGTGAATGATATTCAAGCCCTTTTTGTCAGTTCTCCATGCTATTTTTGTTTATTTATGATTATTTATTGTTGGCTTTAGTGGTTTAAATATTAGTAATTGTCCAAATACTCTTTTGATATGTACACCGTGGATTTTAGTTCTCGAAAAATGACCGTTTTAAGAGTTCTAGTCCTTTTTCCCGCTCTTTCATGCTTCGTCGAAACCTCTGTCTTTATATTACTGGTGTTGTGGTGTCTTAAGAGAGGCAGTTACTGAAACCTAATTTCCTTCCGGTGAAAATGTGTGTCTTGTTGCTGTTCAAAGTGTCGTTGGTCTTTTGATTTTAATGTAAATATCTTTGTAGACTACAGTCCTTGTGTTGCTATCATGATTGAACACATTGATGCTATAAAACTGGGTTGGTTTTCTATTAATTCGCAACCTCGGTTAAATAATGTTTTTGCTCCATCGAAGGACTGGACTAAACCGATTGTATATAATATCAAAAGCGTCCGGGAGTTTGGCGTGAAGTTCATCCATCCACTTGGCTAAACAGATTTTTGGCATTTCAGCTGGTGTTAGTTCATGATGAAAACTCTAAGCCTAATTACTAAAACTGGTTTATAACCCCCATTTAGTTCTGGTTGGTAGGTGGATATCCACAAGGTCATTTAGCACCGCTCAAAAGCCCATAAATAATGGTCTCGTCGCCTATCAGTTTGTGTTGGTGGTAGTTGTATAACTATTCAAAATTGAAATGTGATGTCTAATCCCCTAAAAATACATGAGTTCTATCACGATTCCCGAAACAACTCGCTGATTAATCTCGACCAGCACCAAAACTAGATCCAGCGCGTCTAGACAATTGTTTTGAACTATTTAATAGTACCAGAATGTTCTCAAGACAGTGATTGCTGCTCTTATTTCTTGGTTTTACGTATGGACGTTTTGAAACAGTACATGCTTTTTCCTGGTTTTACATCCATCTGGACTTCACGTATTTATAGGAGCGGAGTGGTTACATCCAAAACGAAACAGTGATTTTTTTTGTACCTTAGTTATATCGGTGAATTGGCTTAATAAACGTTCAATTGTGTTGTCAGTAACGCTTTCTGATTGACAATCCTATTGACAAATGCATTTTTAACCTGTTGATGTACTACATAGTAACAAACTTGTCATCTCTGTGCTCTGAAGTTAATTGTTTGACAGCGTTTATAAAAATCAGTCTGGAACAACTGACATTTCTACTTTTTGCACTGTCACGTTATTCTTTTAAGATAAGTGGCACCTAACTAGTTTTCGAATTCACCTCAAAGCCTTGTTGTGTAAAACCAATGTGTTGGTTCTGTACAGCACATTTCAAATTTTATCATCTGATTTTGTTCCTGTTCATAAAAAGCATTTAAAAATTATCAGACCACTGGTTACTCTTTGTGTTTAAACATAGACAAATATATTTATGTAGTTGTCTGTTATCAGGATAATTAATTTTAAATTAGATAAAGGAAGCTGTCTTGGTCGTGTTCCTTATAACTCGGTGATTGGATTCATCTTAGTACTTGTTGGAGGTGGAGTCTTGTGTGGTACAATTTATTCTGGAATATCACGTATCGATACATACTTTCGGTTGTATTTTTTTCCTGTGTACTCGTAAGTTACTAACATTTTAATGTTTTGTTTATTATTTTAATTAGGAGAATATTTTGGCATTCATTTTATTTTACTAAAGTTGTTGCTTAGTGTACCAACTTCAGAGAATCCTCAAGTTGGTTTTAACTTAAAACTATGGCTAACGTTTAACACGAATGTTATTCTCTGTATTGTACAACCTTTTAAAACTAAATGAAATAGGATCCATATATTTTATTTATTATTTTTATTATTATTATCAGCTTTATTCAATATTATATTTTTGGTACAATATAGAATTCTCAGCGTAAAGTATTTCAACAAGTTTCCGTTTCTTTCTTCTTCGTCGGTCCTGGCGATAAATATTGAGTGATCGCCAGTTAGATATTAGCAGTTCACTAAATGAACATCTGAATAATGTGCATTCTTTCCGTTGTATATTGCCAGCAACCACATTGTCTCTTATTGAGTTTTTTGTAACTTTGACAACGAAAGGTTGTACACTTTTCAGAAACGCAGCAGAATAGGTTGTGCGATTAATAAACATAATGATATATTAAAACAAACAAAAATAGATAACTTGTTGAAATATCTAGATGGCAGGAACAGGTAGCCCAGATGATCAAGCAGGCCGCCGAATGCATTCATGTATAGCTTGTGTTTTTTATGAATGTCTATCACTGCTACATTTTCCAGACGAATACTCCAGATTAACTTTCTAAACTGGAATACATCAGTAACTAATTGGTCACAGAACTTTATTTTTCAATGATACAAGTGGTCTTAAATATCCATTAGTCCATAGTAAATTCAACTTTACGAAATGTATCTAGGTATCATCGTTCTTTTATAAGATACTGCACATAAATCGTCCTCGATCATGAGCATCTGTTTTAATAGAATCTATTCAATCTTATCATTAATTCTAGTACAATTGATATGATTTGTATACCAACAAACGTTTTTGAGTTTTTGGTTTACAAATTAAATCCTCAAGGTCTGGTATGTTCATTAGAGTAAATCTCATCTATGTAAAAATGTAACTCATCATAGGTTTTGTAGCTAGTGAATTTTATTGAGATGAAAAGCCATCCTATTATTCTTATTGTTCCTCGCAAATACTTTTATATTTCATATGACTGATCCCGTAGTATCCATTTACTGAGCTTTTTAGACAAGTTTTGGAAATCATTGGGCTTCACGTATTATTTTCAGGTAGAAAATCCTTCTTTGATTATCTTCCGAAACATCTTTTCTGTAAAGTCATACCTTAGTTATCATTGCTAATACATTATTTTCCTTTCTTTTCTATTCATCTCGTCGTTCTGGCCAACGTCCACTTGTACCGCGTTCTACGTTGATTGTGACTGAGTCACTGAGTTACTTTTGATTTACTTTTTTCTGACCTTTTTTAGAAGTCATTGCTGTTATATCAATTGTTCCTTAACTTTCAGTTTACCTTATCTAAGAATAGCTGCAGTTGTGAATGGGGCAGTAGCCGTTCTACTCGCTTTTCTTATACTAATTTTCTCAACACTTGTGAATAATGCTACTCGTGGCCGTATCTATCGTGGTGATCGCTACATTATGGGTGGGCGTTGTTCAGCAGCTCTGGTAAGAATTTTGTAATTATTTTCGGCAAGTCAGTTTGTCTATTATAAACCGTATGTGGGCCTGTACAGAATTTACTATAATTCTTTTATGGTCTGTGGAAAGTTATAAAATGTTATGCTTTTATGTGGTTTATTTTCCAGGATTTTTAAGTGTAACACCGGAGTCATCAACAGAGACAAGTTATCTTTGGTTGTTTACATCGAGGACCCACATCAACCTGTAATCTCAACTATAAAATTCGGAAATCTCCACAAACGCCTATACTAAGAATTTTTTTTAGTTAGAAGTCGACTGTTGTGACTTTGAGCCCGCTTTTTTATCACGTGATTTATTCGTCGATCGGAATACGACTTATTTAATATACGACTTATATGCTATACACTGTGCCAAAACAATGACGTTCGAACGGTATGAGCAGCTCAGCATGCTTATTGGTCCTTTGTTCGCCTAGCCCGGTCACTTGAGTCCAGAAAGCCAATAACAGGTTCCAATTTGCGAATCATTTATTTCAAACATCTTGGTTCATATACCAGCCAAACAGATCACATCACACCATAAAATAAGAAATAATATTTATACAACATCAAGCCAAAAGTGGCTATGAACGTGGGAGACTGTAATCAATAAACTGAACATAACTTACGAACAGTAAATCGTATAATAATAATCTATAGGTCAAAATGGATTTTATAATAAAAGGAATATATATATATATATATATATATATATATATATATAATGTTAGCCCATTAATAGCTGTTATAATCTCTTTTTCTTACTGTATAACCCAGCTATTCTTATTGCTTAGTATTCTCGGACACCGATTCACTAGACAAGTCCCCAAATCAGAACACGGTTGAACATGAAAGAGATTATATTCCAAATAACAAGGTTAAATGAAAGTAAGAAGCAAGTAAAAGCATAATAGAGAAAACGTTAGTATATTTATGGTTTTTACATGAGAAGATTCCTGAGTATTCTCCAACTATCGGCTAACGCTGATTGGGTAAGAATTAGCCAATCAGCGTGCACCAAAACAGTCGTGCATTGAGCATGCTTTAATCCAGTCTATGTCCCGCTAACAAAAGTTCTCAGAAGTTACTCGTAATTTAATCTTCGATAAAATATAATAGCGACATCAAAATAACTATTAGGTTGAGTGGATTAAATTTCAATGAACAGAACTTGGGCCTACCCCTCAGGTTACGAGTAGTATTTGCTGTTTAAAAGCTACTTAAATCTTGGTCAGTTAGATTCGGTTGCCACCTACAACCCATTGATTATAAGTTAATCAGTAGCTCTTCTTGATACAGATGAGTGATTAATTTTGATTCGTAAAACAAATGTCCTTGAAATTTACAGGAAGTTTGCAGTTTACTTACTTTTTAGTTTGGAATTGCTTGTACTAAAGTGTACTGAAGTACCCTTTACTCTCCTAGCAGAATTCACTTGCACCATGTCAATTAATGTTTCTTTAAATTATGTCACATTCTGTGGATATTTGATCGTACGGGGTATTGAGTTCTGTTTTTTAGTTTACTAGAAATATGATCTTTATCATGATTTTGTATATGATTTTATCCTTCAAAAGAAATAACTTTTCGGAAGGGATTTCGGTAGTTTCAAGGTCATCAGTTGGTTGTGGGATCAGAGTTTAAAGATATTATTAGTTTCATAGTTTACATAGACAATCTCACTTGTTGATCAAGTGTCATTAAAATGTAGGGAAAAAAATTAATTTTTGATAATTATTTACCATTTTTATCTAGTCGAATGCTTTTTCCGGTTATTATTATTCAAACAAGTATAATAAAAAGCGGATAAAAGTACTGATGTTACTTATTTTGAAACTCATAAAATGTTTCTTAGATTGTTTATTTGTGTCTAACTATTATCTGTGTCCAAGTAAACCTTTCTACTAGATGACAATATTAAGAAAATGGATATTCTAATCTAAGTCAGTATGTGTTGACGAACATTGGTCGACATTTATCAATACATCGTAAAGTATTCAGTTGTTTAAAATATCTTGTGGTTACATTTGTCGATTAATCGAATTATCAAACATCTATTTCACAGATCCAATGGCTTCCTACTGAAGCTTTCACAATTGTTTGAGTGTTTATGATTAGTTACTATTTGACTTGACAAAACTAATGATGTTTGTATTGAAAGTCCAGTTTACTCATTTTTACCTATTTCTGTCATTAATATACTGATAAAGGCAATTCTCAGTGCTTCCGAAGTATTGGGGCTAAGTTTTCCAGCCAAGGATGAAGAGGTTTTTGTAATCATCAATGGCACTTGCAAAATAAGAGTATCTATCTCTGTAGTTATTGTTAAATTTCGTATTTATAATTAGCTAACATATTTTTATGCAACATTACACTTTTTTGCATTTCATTATTATATCTTTTTAATTTTTTCCTTTCCTTTTCCTTAAACAAATAGTTCATGTGCACCACATATGTAACCATAATTGTATGGTTAATATTTTTAGCATTCCTTGTTGTCCCTACATTTTGTTGGGCAATGTTCAACTCGATTTGTACTGCTGAGTTAGCTGATGTTTGGCATGGACCAGGTGCACGACGTCCTGGTCCTGATGGCCGTGTTGCTCCATCTCTGTCAGAGTTACGAGATCGTAAAGATTATCTGGCGGAAACGTATACAGCTCGTCTTGCCTACTATTATCAAAATCTCAATTTTGGCTATAATCCTTCTGAGTCTCAACATGGTTTCAGACCTCCTTTTGTTAATCTGGGAAACTCACCCAATCTACCAAATTATCACGGCAATCGATATTATTCTCCTGATTTCAACTACATTTTTAACTTGACACATTATGGTAAAGATGTGTTTTGAAATCATTCTTATTAATGCTACTTTCTAATCTTATGCTTAATAAACCATTTATATGTTTATATTATTTTTTTATAGTTACTAAACCATTTGGTATAAAATAGTAACCAGTTCATATTCCATAGACGAACCTATATGAATTCAAATCAGTGGGCATGATAAGAGCATTGTCTATTTAATTTTATGAGTAATAATGACGTAAGTACGTCTTAGTTACTACCGGCCTGTGATCTTGCCTATTTTATAAGGGTCAGTTGCACTATTTATTATTTAAACACATAAACATTGGTACATGGGGGCACCCAGTACATATGGGCCACACAATAACAATGAGACTAGTAGTGGTTACCATTAATTTGGGTGAGGGCTGGGATACTACCCAGGTGCCCAAACCGAGGCGGATAGTTCTCTTAGGGAGGCACATTCGGAGCCATTGACCTGAAGGACAAATCCATAAGGCAATGGAGCATCGTTAGGAGATGCAGTCCAATGGTAGTCTGTGACCAACGATAGGTTTATACGCTATTTTTCCCTCAGGATCTTGGAACCCAGCTGCATCATTAGTTTGGAGTCAGGGTTTTCCAGCTCCCCTAGGTGGATCCTCATTATTCACCTACCCGGCCAAAGCTTTTCGTTCTCTAAATTTTGTAAACAACACCCCCGACACGAGAAGGCAGTGAGTAGGACTTCCCCGACAGTGGCTGTATACCTGTGGCCTCGTGAGAGCATTTCAAGAGGGAGAGCTGACTCTCCCCACCTTCGGCTGTAGTAGGGCATTTGGAAGCCTAGATTGTATTTAAGCAGAGATGAATTAGAGCATGATTCATAAAATCAATCATTTTACGCTCTTCATGCATACAAGTATATGTTCATTCAGTATTCTGTCCAAAGCCTTCATAATTGTAGTTAACTGAAAAATCCTCATAAAAATAGATTCAACCTTTTATACATTCGTCTCCTTTGAATAATACATTTACATCGATGAAAATTACAGCTATAGATATCATCCATTTACTATTAGGGTCATTTATTGCATTATAGTGACCTGGTACGTTCTTTTACCCCGAGCATTTTCCAACGGTTTCCTCTTAGTCAAAGAATATTGGTAAGCAATTTGAAAAGAATATGGAACTGTAATTTATTCGTGGTTGTAATTCTGCTACTTGGAATATTTTATTATTCGCTTTCAGGATATCATGTGAACGACGGATTGGAAAATCGTATAGTTGCATATATTAAGTATCAGTAAAACGTTTTATTTATTTATAAGACTAAATATGCTTGGTGAAATTTGGTACCGAAACATCCCCCTTTGTAATTCTAAACTTATAATTCACTCATCTTTTATATTCCTCAAAATGTTATGGATCTTTTTCTAGTTTAATCAGTGACTTAGAAAGAATTGCTATGCACCTAATAAAATAGACCTTAACATAGCGGTAAAATTAGGAATAATATCTTCCGTATCACTCAAATACATCTGTGGCAATTATTTATCTCCCAGAATCTCATTTTTCTCAGTGCTTGCTTTCCTACAATAAAAACATACTCTTTTTGAACATCGCCATTAATATTTAATTAAATGATTCTACAATTGATTGACCATTAAATAGTTTATTTTGTAAAAGAAGTGTTATAATTCTCTTTTATTACGACCCGGCTATTCCTATTGCTGAGTATTCTTGGACACCGATTCACTTGACAAGTCCCCAAATCAGAAAACAGTCGAACAGGAAGGGAATTATATTCCAAATAACAAGGGTAGATGGAAGTAAGAGGTACAATAAAAAAAAACAGTATATTTATAGTTTTTACATGAGAAGATTCTAGTCTTCCTTAAGTATCGACTAGCGCTGGATAAGAAACAGCCAATCAACGTGCACTGACACAATCGTGCATGGAACATGCTTCAATCCAATGTGTCCCGCTAACAAGAAGTATTTATAATATCCCATTTTAATATAATTTTTCTAAACAAGTACCGAGTTTTATACTAAATGCTTAGTACGAGCAGTTCAGAACAGTTGATTCCAATTGTTCAATATTCATGTTCGAATCTGCGATAAGAACATTCATCTGGTTTATCAGAATTTCAAACTGAATGTTTGCACCAGGTTTGTTGACAGGTAATTCAATGTAACGATTTCTAACTTCAATGTACTACGTGTACTTAAAATTGGGACTTTGAAAAGTACGAATAAACCTATCGACCGACAAGTTCCCATCTATTTGAAATGAATATCATAATGCCTGTGTATGTACTGTGTGAAACACACATTCATTTCCAGTAAAGCTCAACTGTGAGAAAATCAGGAACGCGACAGATTTCTGATCACATTCAGCCAATCATTAAACCACAATTGTAAATGAATGATTTGTAATGCTGGAACTAGGATTAAGGTTTTAGCAATAAGATTTACAGTTATGATTGGTGCTCAAAACTTACCATTGTGATTTAAAGTTATGATGTAGATTTTAAGATTTGAGTTTGGGGTTACAGCTATGATCAGGATTTAGGATTTATGGTTGCAGTTACAATCAGGGTTTATGAGTAAAGTGAGAATTTAGTATTGGGATTAGGTTTTACGCTTAATATATATTTACCTTTATCCTAACTTTAAACTGTACATCCTAAACGTAAACTCTACATTTTGTCCTTAACCCTAACCTTAGGTATTTAACAGGGTTTTTGTCATCAGTACTAATCATCTGTGTTCGGTAGATAACGTTCTATTTTGATAAGTGTGTCGTGACCTTGAAGCACCTCACTTGTTCTTTGTTGGTTCTTTATCATCATCTAACAATGTGAATAGGATATAGGTTTTTAATAAATTGACCGTGTTCTTATTTTACTTCATCAATTCTATTCCTTATTATGTTGCGTTACAATTGAATAATAGTTTAAACGAATGTGATGACCGCTATGGATATTTATTCTTGTTTATGCAGATTTTCAAAAGTCTGGTCGTCTTCTTAAGCAATGATCTCAACAACCTGTTAAAAATCTTTGTTGCTAACAAACATTTTACATAGCTTTAAATAATAAACGATATCTATTAAAACATAAACTGATAATTTAGAGAAAGAACCATCTTTTGTAAAAGCTATACAAATTTATTTGTCGTTTCTAACGCAACTACAGACAGAGTCGTTTATTGGACACAGTGGGTTGATTATTTCTAGTTTATTGAAGTGATATCAAATATTTTACAAATCTGCCACTGAAATTCAATTATTTATTTTCCTATTGTTGTGTCAGTGTTTTATGGGTACACTATTTCTCTTTTTTTCGAGGTGTTTATATTAAACCATGGATGTATGATGAGTCACTGAATTATCGTGAAGCCATTACTTCACTGAACGAATTTGCAAGATTTTGTGACGAAGTAAGTTTGACTTATCACTATGTTTTTCATTAATGGTAAGTACATACTTGTAGTGTTAGTAATGGCTGTATCAATGTAGAGGGTGAGACAGTAGGTGGACTAAAAGTACACAAAGAAAAGCAATTAGAAAATAAATAAAGTAATGAGGAATACCAGAAAATGGATTGCTGTAGAATGATTAGGTATAGCTGATGTTGGGTAATTAACGCTTAATGCACAATACGAAGTTACTTATGTATTTCATTAGTCATGGTGGATTATTGACTAACAAATTCTCAACACGAATGTAAACAACGTGCTTGACTTTTCACAATTTTCTATATCTAGATGCTTCATATATGCTAGCAGGTCGGTTTAAGGCTTGAGCTATGTCGATCAGTACAGACTTTCAGGTCAAGACTTCTTATATAATCGTGGTTCATGGTTGAAGACGTTGATTGATCGAGTCGAAGCTTTAGACAAGACGTTTTAAGCCAAGTAGGCTGTAAAGGAACTTCAGGAATCGATTTTTAATGATAACCGATCGTTATGTCAGATTTAAAATTATGATCTTTCTCACATCCACAGACTAAACAATAAATTTTTGCATTTGATGGGGTGCCTACCGTTTTTATACACAAACGTACCGTGCTTAATGGGTACCGAAATTCGATAAAAGCAATAATATGTGGTCCATGATAAGTGAATGTGATGATCTATAAACTGATGTCTTTGATGTGTGCTATTGATAAGTATTCCAAAAACCTAATAAATTGTGCATATTATAATAAGTTCTAGTTATGGTGACAGGTGATTTGAACCCTTAAACTTGTATCTCTTAGGTTACTAGCTCAAATTTAATCAAAACACTGTCTACCTTTCAGGTAAAAAAATGTCACTGAAATTGTACATGTTCTGAGCCACGTTTATTTAGTTAACAGATTAATAACTACTAATGCCTACTCCCTTCCAGAATTCTCTATTTTAGTAATTCTTTCTTAGCTATTTGTTTCATGTGAGACCTAGTGTCATAACTCTCTGAATGTCGGTAATCATTGTAATCTTATTCCTAACACTCTGATTATTTATTCATTCTCACTTAGTTTCTGATTTAACGATGCTCCGTTTATCTCCTATTGTACATAGGATGAATAGTTAGTTTCTCGCTTCTGTCGTAGTTACGAAAGTCTCGATAAGAATGGTGTGTGTAGTATATTTAAAAGACATTCTTTTGTTGCCAAGGTATGATCCCAGGATAGGACAAAGTAGCTGTCCGGTGCTTCTTCAGTTTCAGTGACCGTCTAATCAATATCAGTCTGTTATGTAACCTATGAAATAAAAATGAAGTTTATTACCTTCAATTTACTTTAATCTATCACATCCACACTTACTTCTACAACGTTTTCCCCATTTATCTAGGTTATGATAGTGGGTCCACTTTTTGCTTGTTCACTTGGCGGTGCTGTTTTTGTTCTACTTGGTTTGGTACGTTTGTATGTTTCTTTTTTATCTATTCTATTTATTTACACACTTCTTATTAAACCTTTTATTATTTTAGTCTTGTTATACAAGATTATAGTAAAATTAACGGAAGTAACCTATGGTGTCATTGAGGAGGAATTCAGACAATTCAAGGAGGAAATTTTTCTTTTCAAGAATATCATTTACTCTAGTTGTACAATCGTATTTATAATTGACTTACGAATAAAATAGTCTATTAAACGACAGGAGGATGGTCACATCATATCATATATCAAAACAAGTTGATTAATAATCGAAAATTGAAGTGAGGAGAGAGATAGTTGAATGAAATCAGATGTGGGAAGGATAAAAATTTAGCTAAAAAGGTAAAGATTAGAAACAGAAGAATGTAATTAAATTGGATTACCATGTCAGGTGCACGGACGAATAATGGCTTACATGTGTCTCTTTTGCACACAGAGTTCATGTTTGAAAAGATGAATTACTAACCAATAAGATTTCTATAAAGTCTAATGCGCATAATTTTGTTTTTACCAATATCATTGTAAGGTAGTGTCATAACACAAGTCTGTCTCAATAGTCACATACGGATTTTGTTTTGCTACTGTTAGAGAGATCCAGAATATTCCTCGAAAAATGTTTATACGGTCCCTGTAAATTCTGGGGAACATTTTACCCAATCAGCGTTAGAAGTCTCTCAAGAACATTTAGAAAAAAAAGTCACGTGTCACATTTCTGATTGAATGATTACCTACCCTGCTACTATGTTTAGTAGCGTTCAAGAAGCCTAAGACCATCTGAAATGCCATAAATACCCTAATTTTTCTGTACATAAACGAACCTTGGAGTAAAGCGTTCTTCCCATATTTCGCACCATTTCTCTCGTGTTCAGGTTGTCGTGTAGCCTGGGATTATTAAAAAGCTTTGGAAACTGATTCTAACGTCCAGTCAGAAGATTTATCAACTAAACGATACGATTAGAAGCTGCACCTATTTTACAAGTCAACAGTAATGTCTGACTAACATCAAACTGTAAAGTGTACTAACTTTTATAGAAGTCTAACATAGCATTCTGCTTGAATAACGAATAACCTGAAATATTTTACCTTGTAATGAATCTTGTTAGAATTCGATAGACGTTTTGCTAACTTTCAATATACGAATAGGCCATGATTACTTTAGCTGATACCGGGCTGTCCAACCACTGTGCATAAGTCAGGTGGAGTTCGGGCTAATCACATTATCTTTCTTAATCGTGATTGTATGAGAAGAGAGTTCTACTGAAAAATTAAGAGTGCAATTGTGGCACGAGAAAAACTTCCTTTTGGTGCTTAAACAGACTCGTCTGGAAGGACCCATAAGGTCTGGCTGGGGCGGGCCAGAGCGTAGGCTATAAACTGTGCCGTAACTAATACACAGAGGTCAACACTAAATCTGCTTGTGATATGGATCTGAAGTGAGCACATCGTTTGTGACGACTTATTGATATAGTAATTTGAATACTTGATATTCATTCAGTAAAAATAATTCTGAGTTACTGCCTGGAGTGATCGCATTTATATCTATATGTACTTGTACTCTATGCAGTGTATGAGTCTTGATTTATGCATTCTATATTTGCATGTATTGCATACTTGCGAACGGAAACTTTTAAGCCTACGGCATAATGGACAGAACTGCAACCAGTTCTAAAGGTAATTGACTGTTGGACTGATCCGTGTTTGTAGGTGCAGACCTAGTTGATGTCCACACGATAACCTCGATCATTGATTGGAGATGTCGGATGGCATGTTTTATTATCGACCACAGTGGTACAGATACATTCACTCTTTGTTTTCTAATAGATCCTGAGTTTAAAGATTATCTTATGCCCGTTATTCTGCGAACTCATTCTTCTCAAATTATTGTTCATCTCCAATCTTTGCTATTATGATCGATACTGTTACTACTTCTGCTACTCTAATATTTGTCCTCAGACTTTCATCTCGCTTTCCTGATGTAATATGGTAGCAACTTGCACCGATGCATATATATTTCAGAATCTACATACTTATAAGTGAATGACTGAGTGACAAACTGTTTTTTTCTCTTTAAATTAATTAACGTAAAAAAGTCTCACGTAATATCTCATACATTTGTTAACTGTTTCTTTTTATTGCTCCATTTTTGTTTGCCTTCACAGACTCTATTTGTTGGCTCATTGTCAGCTTATTATACTCGATTAAAATTGACAAAAGAACTGACAGATTTCAAACAGAGCATTGCATTAAGATCACCCAAAAATCATGATCCATCAGCTTATTTTTAAATAGCAGAATCCCTACGTACTATTATTATTATTATTGTTATTATTATTATGTAAAAATCTCGGTGTTGTAGACAATGAAAGAAAATATTTATAACCTTAATTAGTTTGTTTTTAAAGCAAAGTAGTGAAAATGCATTTTTTCAGTAGACAGAAGGATAAACAGGGAGAAGTGGGCACGGGAAAGAGGTTGGAAAAAAGTGGGGAATATAGCAATGATTATCGTTTGTTTGAATTATTTTCTAATTTTATTTCTCACAGTTGTATATACTGTGTGCACTTTCCAGTTGTCGTTCTACACACTTGACAATGTGCGATGTGTTCAATTCATTGTTTATTTGTTTGTTTGTATGTGCATTTTGCCTCTCTTATCTCCACTCAATAATGATAACTGTCCTATCCTTAATGTACATGATAGTATGTTTGGAGAAAAAGATAATAATTTGATAAAGTATTTTTGTTTAACTGCTATCAGTTATAGTAATAAAAGTAGTTATGAGTACTGTGTATTTTGCTCCATACTCAATATGGATATATATATTACTCTAGTTTTTAATATATGTTCTATGTTTACTCTATATTCATTTGTTTGGCTTTCGTTTTTATTTTTGGCCTCTCCCTATCATAGGATATTCCATTTTATCTTTTATATACTATTTGTATTCACTAAATGATGAATTATGATTTTGGTACAACTAGTCAATAATTTAAAAATTAGTATCTATGTATGTGCGAACACGAACATACGCTCCATCTATCTCCCTCTTCTACGTTTTCGTTTACATTGTTAATCAAAACCATATATATCTATTTTATGTATTGAATAACACAATAATGATCGTGCTATCTTGTCTGACTATCGCATATAGTTTCTGATCTACTGCACTTTGCCTATCTATTCATTTACTCTGCTTTGTTTTTGTTTTTCTATCAACCCAGTAAAAATGATACAGGATAAACTTTTAACGACACAAACATATTTTTATATATTCAATATATCTCAGTTATTACTACCATTATTCGCTATTTCACTTATTTTCTCTTGTCATTATCATTTATACTGTCTTTTTTCTACAATGTCATAAGTACAACTTTTTTAGAATGAAATAATTTCCAATATTTTATTTTGCATTTTATTTTGTTCAATTGGTTGATAACAGCAAATTTAAATTTGAAGAAACAAGTATTATCACCAAGTATTTAGCTAAAATGACACTAGTCTCGTTGTTCAGTTATTTTCATCATAATGCAAATAAGGATCTCATAATTATTTCTTTATGTATGTGTGCATATATGTATGTCTTTTTTGTAAAGTGAAGTTCTTGAAAGTTTCAGTAAATAAGAGCATTTTTAGATCAATTTTTCCTCTTTGTTTACATAAATGTATACTCAAACTCAAAAAAGTTTACTTCAATATTCCATGATATTTGTTATTATTATAATTATCACTACTATTACTACCACTACTACTACTATGGTAAACTGGAACTTCGAATTGCTATTCTTTGATTTGACTTTACGTTTGAGATATTCATATGAAGAGAAAATCAATGCATTTGTGGTGTACTCCTTTTTTTGATTTAAATCACATAAATAAATTGTTCTCATTATGTTAACTCTCTTGTTTCATTTGTAATTATCAATAATTCACAGAAATTCCAATGGTGTTGTTACACCGTTGAGAAGCTAATCTAACATTGTACAGAATTCCCAAGGGGAAAGACTAAGTTTTAAATTGTTTAAAAATGTTAGAATGTGAATATGATCGACTAACTTAAAAATATGATCAATCCACAGAATGCGAATGAAATAAATCACATAGAATCCTTAATAATATTTCTTATGGAAACCATCATATCCAATTGTCATTGTTTCGTTTCCCAGTTGAAGCATGAGTGAGATTTAAAGTGGAATCAGGATAACCCGTTTGTAACAGTAGTAGTGTAAGTAGGTTTAGCTAAATAAGTCCTTCATATTCGTGCGAAATTCTCATCATTCTATCAACGTGTAATTCTTAGCATAAGAAACTATTGACAACTCAGCCGCTGCACTACTTTTACCAGAGTGAAACGACTCTGCATTCAACGAATATGAAATGCATCCCACCTATTTTCGTGTAATTAAGCAAATTGATAGGTAGACTTGATTGTATAGTGTCGAATACATTTAGTACATAGAAAAATCCGTCTTGACCTAACATATGTAGGATATCCCTACATTTGAGTTAAAGACTTCGATCTTCTAATGTTGAATAGATTTAAGTTCTGAAGTCCAAAATATGGTTCTTAGGATTAGTGATTTGACATCATAACGTCTTTTAGTTGATAACGAGTAGTTGCATGTTAATTAAGTATCCATTTGATTGAGTCTCGATGGTCTTGAAGCGACTGTTTCTCGCTTTGTAAACTCAGAATCACATGTCCATAAATAAAATGGACTATGGTGTTGAGCTACTTAGTTTTCAGATTACATACCAAACTTAGTAGAGATTTATCGACAGTAAACAATATGATATTTTTGATGCTCTTCGACAATATCTGTACTATAGGTTATTTGTCGAGCTTAACTTTAATGTCTGACTGCAATGCTAACTGACGCGAGTTAAAATCTTCAATAAATCATTGGTTTTCTCGTTAAATGCATGCTTTGCTGATAAATCCCAAAGTAAACGAATTCATAGCTTAGTTATCATGGTTTCCATTCATTCTCTCCCAACACTATTGAACCAGTAAGTATGATATTAAGACCTCGAAGGGAATTACAAGTAAACCACATATCATCATTAGTGAATATTTGAAAATGTTAAGGACTTTAAGTTACTCAAGAATTGAAAACCTAGCGAATTAATGAGAACATCCTTCCGATTTTAAAGCAGTTCATTGAACGAATTTTTGTCAAAGAATAATCTGATATTGCTTGAATATCAATTTAACCTGGAATAGACGTATATAATGTCTTCATTATACTGATGAAACACATGAACTGCTTATGAAATTTCAAGGATTGAATTAATGTGGAAAATTCATTTTTATGCGTAGGTTGATACATTCGTGAAAGATTGGATGTCGTTTTTCCGTCGAACTAATATCATTTCTACTAATCACTTCATTCTTAATAGCTGCATTGATATTTTCAAATAAATAGATTTTGATGTATTACCCATTGAATCAAACTATATATTACTGTTAAATATAAATAAAAAATTCTCTTATTCACTGTTTTTATTCTAGTTGTTTACATTTAACAAAAATAGTGAAAACAACTTTATATAGTTTACAAACTCAGCTCACAATTAGACTATAATCACGAGTAATTCTATTGAGTTTGTGATCTAATTAGATTTTCTTTTGCCCTAGGCAGAATAAATATAGTGACAAAACAGTTACTACGATAATAAGAATGTACTTTTATTTAATAATATTTGAGTATATAAGGTCAGAATATTTCTAAACATAAATGAGTTGTTTTCTCATCTAAACATTTCATTTTTTCCAACCTATTTTTCTATAAATACATAGATTCTCAAACATCTGCAATGTTGGACTAATTACATTTTGTGAAATAACACATAGAATTTGATTAAAGTACACGATTTCTATTGAAGAAATTATTTTTGCTACTTTAAGTCCTATGATAGTAAATGAGTTTTGACAGTATTGATGTATATCAAGGTATATAGTAGTTAATTGACAAATATGCACAAATCATAAACGAAACAAGTAACTAGTAACCTATGATTGTTTCTGATAGACTTTATACGGAATATGCAGTAGTTAAAAAAGTGTTATTGATGAAAATTTAATTTGGATTGAATGATTCCCTGAAATACCTTATCTTGATAACAATCTTGTGTTCAGTAATGAATAACGTCGTAGTAGATTTATAAAATTTTAATGGAAACCTATGGTGACTGGTGGAGTTCATTAGATGTTAGAACTAAGAAAAATATCACCAAAAATATTTGATGGCGATTGCGCTTTATAAAACAGACTAAAGCAAGGATCACTGAATTATGACTCAGTGACCTAAATTTATGATGCTCTCAACAGTACCTGGAAGTCATACATTCAATTCTTTATAGAGTCATAATTGTGCATTATGATGAAATCTTAGTTACTCTGCAAAATGATCTAAACTGTACGGAACTATTAATTCAGTCCATTCAGCTTGAAAATAAACTATTATTACAACTTCATTTAAGATAACTGTGAGTAAATTGTTATTAAGAATAATTATATATATCCTACAAAACATTTTGGATATATATTGTAATCATCAGTTGCGTGGATATCAGAATTTAATAGTATACAATTCCAGATGTATTAGAAATATTACAATTCTCCACTGATGTGCCTTGGTTCAAGTTGTTTAAATCCACAATAACAGGAAAATTAATGTCAACAACAATGAGAAAATATTAAAAAATGGAGTGTTAACAAATAGCTGACATATAGTAGTATGAGACCATTACAGAGTGGATGATTACTATAGATTCTGATCGATATCATTATTATTCTGCGGTATTAGAACACAATTATTCTTATCAGAATACATGTATGGAGTGCAACAATGATTTTTGTTTACGTTGCTATTTACACTTGTATTGTTTGAATGTGTTCATCAACTTCTCCAATGCTGCGAAAAGTCAACAAGTGTGACTACATTTTATGTTTCTAATGGTTACAACGCTCCAACTAATACCATAGTGATACGTTTGAAATCACGAGTAAGAACTAATGTAGTCTAAGATATTAACACTGAATAAATGTCGTTCATTACCATGCATTGGTGGTACTATGCTTTATGGACGAACCAATCAGATTAAAAATAACGGACTTTAGATCATTGGGTTAAATTCAAAACTCTATGACATATAATCTGTACTGTTTGAAGAGTTAAGTTAAAATTACTTATATTTAGTTCATAAAAAGCTTGGATAGTGTAAAGATTATGATCATTAGACTATCGTCCCTATGAGTTATTTACTCTACTTCATAACTCGT